GGATAAAAATACGAATGTTGATGTAACACACGTAATATTATATCAAATATTAATTATCTGACTCTCCTCTTGTTGACAATCGGATCAATGACAATTCTGTTAATTGACTAATTAGGACTACTCGCCACTCGGGATTTTCCGGGTGAGATTCAAAAAGAGAAATCGCACTCTCGGGGGAGAGATTCGGTGAGAATTAAAGGAGCGCGCCCTCAGTACGCACTCTCGTTGTTATCGACCATCAGAAGAGGAGGCCGAGCCGAGCTGACTCGAGCAGAACCGAGCGACACCGAATTGGGAATACAGAGAGGCGAGCCGCATCGCGAGTCGTTCCTTCGTCGTCCCAGGACCTGGATCCTGGGTATCGCGGATCGGTATTCCGGATCGCCGTTGATCGCGATCCCGCGGGATCTCACGTTCGTGGCACGCTCACGTCTCGGGAACAAACCGAAAACCGGGTGCGAGGGACGTTTTATATCACGTTAGACGAGACGATTCCGAAATTCCGCAGACTCGCACTGTGTTTACATCTCCCGGAGGAATACCGTGGTATGACATTTCTGCGTGGTGGTTCTCCCGTGGGTACACAGTGAGGAGCATCGGTCGAATCCGCCAAAACGACTCTCGAGAGGAAGACCTCGCGAGAGGATCGCTCGTATGTCAACGTCCGGACATCCCTTGCGTTTCGTGACTCTTCACGATCCGTCGTGTCGATGTTCCGCGCGTTAATGACAATTCATTTCCAGAGTGACGGTGGTATAACGGTGGTGTCGCGATGTGGATCCATGGCGATCGACCTGCGACGTCAATCAATTCTCATCTCTCGATCTCTTCGTTCCGTCGCCTTTCGTAATCACCGATTCGCTTGAGCTTGGCGATCTCTCGATGTCAATTTGACTTCGTTCCTGATCCTCGGTCCTGAGCGTACGACGTACGAGTAATCGTTACGCCCGACGATTGATTCTTGACCAAATTCCAGCGTGATCTCTAAATGTTAAACCGGGATGCGAACGACGACGATTTCCCGAGTCGCCGACGCTCACATCTCGTGGCGAGTGCCACGAGTGTTGCAGATCTCATTGTCGCGATTTTATTGCGTCGTTATTGCCTGAGATAAAGCGAGACGTGTTACCGATTCAGGTTTACAAAAACGAACCACGTCGCGAATGCTGATGACGGGATCCTTGATCACGGGATGAGAGCGAGGATTTCGGTTTTACGAGCTGCGATCATGCTCCGTGATGATCCACCGTGGTACAACTGGCTGAGTTTCGGCAGCTCCTAGTTGACGGGGACCATGGCGATTGTTTGGCTAGGCAGCAGCATAAACGCGAAAACGTAAGAGCTCCGCCTCATCCCTCGCGACTTTTTCATCCCTACGGTCCTCCGCACGAGCGAGATTTAAAATCGTATTTCCAACATCTGGAACATCCCCCCCATCTAAATATATGATATATTCGGCAATGTATACGTGTGCGTGCGTGCTTGCGTGTGTGTGTGTGTGTGTGTGTGTGTGTGTGTGTGTGTGTGTGTGTGTGTGTGTGTGTGTGTGTGTGT